TCATATGTATGTTCGTTTTATGTTGTAGATGTGCAATAAGAAATGATTTTCAAATATTCCAACTGGAGTGTCAGCTGCGGGGAAAAAGGCGCAACCATAAAACAAAATGGTCTTTTCATCACTGTTTCTCCATGCCCTTAAATTACCGGTGGGTGTATGCTGGCTACGTGATTAATAACGCTGATTCAGTTCTTCGATCATACATGAATTCATTCGCTATAGAATAGTGGGCAATTGAATACTTCACAACAGAATCTATCGCCTACTTTGTATCGAGAAATCAGTCAACCCGAACAAATTCAGAATCTGTAAAAGGCTCAGACCTATACCAATCCAAAAATTGAGTTCTAAAAAAGATGAGTGTGGTTATTTTTAACCAAAGTCTGGTATTGACGTCGGTAAGGATGCCGTGAATGGCAATTTTTCATCAATATCGGCAATAATGCAAGACGTCCCACATCAAACGCAGGATATACGTTGCGAATTTCCCCCGTGGCTTCATTTATCCTGCGGTCCTCGGGGCTATTGGAATTCTCGGCGTACGAGATTCTGCACCCGCAATATTTCAATTACTTTGTATTCCCGACTATTCATAGTGTCCCGCGTCGAGTCTTCGCACTCGTAAAATGATTTTCCGAACAAAGATTAATTTTTTCGAAAATATACCAAGAGTTATATTTTTTGAAGATACTTCTTGCCTTTGTTTGAAGGTGGTTGACAATGTTTCGTGGTGTATTTCATCAGTTCGGATTTCCATTGTCTAATTCTAATATAATATAAATTGATTTGAAAACCCTGAAAAAACAATTAATAAAATTAAAAGATTTCAAACCAAGTTATGTCACGACGTTTCGGGTGATAACTAGACTTATTCCTCCGAGATCTGACTATTTATAGGTCATTCGTGTGCTTTCCCTCTTTCCGCTTCATTGGTTTTGGCGGGAGATGACCGTTTGGCGGGAATTGGTCGTTTTTCGCTTGATTAAAGGTTTCCATATGTTACGTATCTTTACGCTAGCTTGACTAAATGCGTTGTTGGACAACATATACGCGGCTTCCTTGAATTTTCTCCTAAACCAGTGTTCCTCTTTGTGAATGATTTCAGCTTGAGCCCACTTGATGTTATGTTGATGAGTTCAAACATGCTCTTCTATTCCGGATTTGTTGGTTTCTTGTGCCCAGCAATGCGAACTTTCAATGGCCTCTTAGTTTCACCGATGTATGATTCTCCACACTCGCAGGGTACCCGGTAAATGCAATTCTTGGAATCGCAGTCCGCGTTTGGTGGCCTGGTTTTTGTAAGACTGCTACGTAGGTATAGTGTTCCCAGATCTGAAGCAGGTACTGATATTATACTTGGACCCAATCCTTCTCATCCTTTCCGATAATCCTGTGATGTAGGGAAGTACAAGTACTGGTTTTGACGGCTTCTCTTCCTTGTGGAGCTCTTGCTCTCTTCTAGCTAAAGTTCTGGAGTAATCATTCCGTTGAAGGTCATTTTTGATGATGCCTAGTTCCTTTTCGAGACCTTCCATTGTATTACAGAGCCCAAAAGCACGGTCTAGTAGAGTCTTGATGATTCCTCTCTTAGTCGATTGATGGTGGTTGGATTCGTGGTTCATATACTGTCCCGTATGAGTGGGTTTTCTATATACAGATGTTTCCCATTTAGTGTCGGTTCTCTCTACCAATACGTCTAAGAAAGGCAATTCGTTGTGGACTTCCTTGTTGATGTGCTTAAGGAAAGTGTCTAGTTCTGCATTCCCATGGTTCCATATCATGAAGGTGTCGTCTACGTATCTCAACCAGACTCGGGGCTTCTTATCGGCTTCTTCAATGGCCAGAGTTTCAAACCACTCCATATATATATATATTGGCTGTGAGAGGTGAAAGTGGCGATCCCATTGGCAGTCCCTCATCTTTCGTAAAGAATTCGTCCTACAGTTGAAAGTAGCAGTTTCGTACACACCATCCTAGTAATTCCATAATTACTTGTATCGGTAAGTTTGTTCTATCTTTCAGGTCCACATCTTCAGGTAGCTTCTTCTGTATGATTTGAAGTGCTTCGTCGACAGGAACGTTGGTGTAGAGGCTTTCCACGTCGAAACTGATCAGTTGATCCTGCTCTTTTTGCTATATGATATATATTGTCACCAATTTATACAGGGTGAGTCAACAAGATTTCCACGGTCCGTTGCTATCAGAGGAAACAATTTTTTGAACTGCTCATTTTTTTGCAGTCATAACGATGAATAATATCTTTGAAAATTATTTTCTCGCATACTGGGTGATTCAGCCAAGTATTGCCAACCAAAGTATACCTCTGATAAAAAATTTAGTGAAATGTTGAAACATTTCATACAAATGAAAAAATACTGTGTGTTCCATTAAAAAAAGTTGAAATGAATTATATCTGTTTGAGAAACTTGACCGGTTTTACCGAGCACCCTATATATTTTTTCCGAAAGTTGATATTCCAGAAAGTATCATAGTGATGTTGACTAACTATTTCTAAAAGAAATCCACTTAATTGCTGTAGACATGCGAGTGGTGAATCTGCAGAATAGGTTTTTCTGGAATAACTTGACAATGACGCAATGGAAATCTTGTTGACTTAACCTTTATATATATAGTAAAATGGATTAACGGGGTCTCTCAGTCAAAAAATCAAAAATCAAATATCTGCTTTACTTTGCCAAACTTTCGCTTCTAATGGTAAGTTTCTTCAGGGCCTATAATTTAGTGAGTTGTGGATTTTTTTGCCAATGAATAACATTACAAATCATACTTACAGTAAAAATGACTAAAAATCAATGAATTGAGCATATAAATCGACGAAAGAAAATTAAACATTGATGGATTTTTTGGTTTGACAAATGTCATACCTTCACATAAATGTCATTTTTCAATGGGCATGATGATTTGATAATCTTTGACTCTAAAGGCAGTGTTGATTGATACAATTTTCATTATTATCATTGTTTTTTGGTGTAGTTTCAATAATTTACTGTATATACTGCTGAGATTATCAATGTCAGATCTCTTATTCATACAATCAGAAGAATTATTAATTTCAACTATTTCAAGAAAAATGCATTAGGAAATATTTTTTTCTGTATGTAAAACTTTGATATTAGAGTAATTTGGTTTATGTCCTGTTTCTATAGAATGTTGCGCTAATGCACATGATTTCTCATTAACCTTTATGTCACTTTGTTGTGAAGTTATTCTATCTTTAAGAATTCTAGATGTTGTTCCAATATAATTCAAGTTACAATTGTTACAAGGAATGTTATAAATCACATTTAACTTTTTTGAAGTATCCGTTCTATCTTTCAATTTGGTATTCAAATTCTTTATAGTTTCAATATTTTTTCAGCCAGACCAATAGAAGAATTTTCAACAGGGCCTATGAACATGAACTAGCCAGCGGCGGCTCGTCAGAGGAGGCAGGGAGGCTTAGCCTCCCCATAAAATTTGAGGCTATTCATCACAATAAATTAAAAGATATTGACAAATAATTATGATTTTTTTTTCTATAAATGCTTGGGTATCATTACTTTACCATTAATTTTTAGTATAAATACATAATATGCCCGAAAAAACACTATCACTCACTACGTAGTACGTACCGCACTGTATCCTGCATCAACAAAACTCAAACGCACCGCACATGAACGAATAACGAATAAACCATCAACCCGAAATAATAAATGGCATACGTTGCAAGGGAGCCAAGCCTCCGACCGCTTTAAAAAACACAGGCTCCACGAGTCCGATCCAACCAGCGACATACGTCCCGATTTGTAATTTCAGTTGCAGAAATTATATAATCCAGTCATTTAAGCTTAAATTAGGTAAGAATCTCGGAATTCGAGATACCCAGCTGTAAGTCTGTAAATACTTGTATATTGACACCTTAAAAGTTGTCTCAAAACCTACATATGGTAGGGTGTAAGCAACTATTAAATTTCAAGGTCAAAGGTCACAAAAATCGGTTTTTTGCGCTTTTTTTGGAAATATNTTTGTAGAGAATTTTGTATTCTACAATATTGATAATAAATACAAATAGCAAAAAACCCATAGGAAATGAGATATTTCCAAAAAAAGCGCAAAAAACCAATTTTGTGACCTTTGACCTTGAAATTTAATAGTTGCTTACACCCTACCATATGTAGGTTTTGAGATTTAGGGTGTCAATATACAAGTATTAACAGACTTACAGCTGGGTATCTCGAATTCCGAGGTGAACTTACTATAATGACTGGACTAATAGCGTCAGAGGAGGCTAGCCTCCAGTTGGTCTCCGTTAGTGTACGACTGCGTTTGTTCTTCATTTAATTATTCGAACGGGATGCCGTGACGGACCGGGACTGAAAAATATTTCGGTAAATCGATTTTGTGTTTCTTGATAATATGTGTTATTTGTGTATAAAACAGGCAGTATTATATTATATTATAGCAGTGCTTTTTGGTAATATTTTTAATGTGTTTTTTAAAGTGTTTTCTTTCAATTTCAAGGTGTTTTCAGGTTTTCACTTTTCGATAAGTTATTTTTTTATTTATCATGCCTCTGGAGACACCCTACATTTTGTTTCATAAGAGAGAGGCAGATCAAGATCTTCAAATGATGTGGTGCTGCAGGTTTTTCCGGGTTTTCCTGCAGCTGAAAAAGCAAATGCGCCACTGGAATCAATGAAGTCGCCCCGGAGCGCCAATTAATTTTTATAGTTGTTTTTATTTTATTTTTATCGTTGTTTTATTAATAAAAAATATTATCCTCAAAACAAAAAAAATTATCATGGATAAGTTGGATGAAATTAAAAAAATCTGACGATATAGTCGATTGGTTGTCTTTAAGTCTTTATCTTATGATAATAAATTTTACATTATTAAAACTCTGGGTGTTTTTTAGTTTTTTAATATTTATTTTCATCAACCACGTGTTCAATGTTAATTTATTGACTAAATTTCAACGATTTCGAGTAGCTGAGACTTACTTTCAGGATCCTCTTCTTCCGATTAGACGAATACAACAGCCAGAGGAGGTAGAAGAACATGATGAGGGCGGCCCCTAAAAGAGCAGATAATCTCGTCGATCCCTCCGGCACGACATGGTAAAGGCCCAGGACTACTAGAAATAGTACTATTCCCGCCGCTAAACATCTTCCGGTTTTGCGCCTCTCCTCCTGTAATTAATAGGATTTAATTTGCGGGAGACAGAGGACCATCCTGCTCGGAAACGATTAGGGATTTAGCGAATCACTGAACAGAGAAATTGCCGAATGTATGAAAGCGTCATTTTTCATCCGTGATGCTCGGGAAGGTGTAATCGCAGCCTTCGAGAGGCACTGGATTTTTTCTGTCGGGTATAATTACTTTCGAAACTCCGTTAATGATATATAGGGTGTTTCTTAATCTTAACTTACTTAACGTACTTAGGAAACAAACTCGAGAATCCTCAAGATATTGTTGATGCCTTCAGTAATTTTTTCAGTGAGGTGTATTGAACAAAATCTGGCTCACTTTTGAACTAAGTTGGTACAGTGAATAATAATGTTTATATTCATTTTTACCCCATTCAAGAAAATGAGGTTATATCTGCAACTATAAGACTAAAGGACAAACTGACATCAGGGCCAGATATGATCCCATCATTTTTGTTAAAGGATTGTGCAGGAGCATTAGCAAAACCTTAAATCTGGAATATTCCCAGATATTTGGAAATTAGCTAAAGTATGTCCTGTATACATAAGTGGTGAAAAATCATATATAGAGAATTACAGACCCATATCTATTTCATGTATGTTTTCTAAAATTTTTGAGATTATTTTATATAATCGCATATATATGCTTCTGTTCAACGGCAACTATCTCAACATCAACATGGATTTGTTACTAAGCGTTCTCCTGTTACAAATCTAGTCATTTACTCAATTTATTTCTGAAGCATTAGATAATAATGGCCAAGTTGATGTTATATACACGGCTTTCTCTAAAGCATTTGATAAAATTGATCGTGGTATCTTGCTCAATAAACTGATGAGTTTCAGTTTTTCGAATACTGCCTCTCAGCTAATGCAATCCTATCTGACATGTAGAAAACAATTCGTGTGCTGTAACGGTTATAAATCTAGAACATATAGAGTTTCTTCTGGTGTGCCGCAGGGCTCCAACCTAGGTCCTCTTTTGTTTTTATTGTTTATTAATGACTTATGTGAAAATTTTGCTTGTGAGCGGTTATGCTTTGCGGATGACTTGAAATTATTTTCTATAATTAAGGAAGTAGGTGTAGCAATAATAAATTGAAACTCAATTTTGGCATTTTGTAAATGCGATTTCCGTACTTTGCGTTGCTGGCGTAACAGAGCTGAAATATGGAGAGTCAGCAGCTGTTGCGCTTGATATCTCTATGGCCTTTGACCGTATGTGTCATGAGGTTTTGCTGGTCAAACTTCGATGATATGGCTTGTCAGATCATTTTTGTATATGGCTTTTCAGCTTCCTGAAAGAAAGTTCCCTGCAAGTGGCCGTAGATGGATATCTCTCGAATACTTTCACTATCAACGCTGGTGTTCTCCAGGGATCCATATTGTCTCCAACCTTCTTTTTATCGTATATTAACGACTTATTGGAAAAAACCAAGAATTTAATATACAGGGTGTCCCTGGACTTCCTCTTTTCCTCTCGGGAATGTATAGATGGGGTCAAAATATCACCAGTACTTCATATAACTTTTTTTCCTAAAATCCTTCGTTACCAAGTAACGGGCCCTCGAAGTTACAAAATGAAAAATGTTTTTCTTTGATAACTTTTCAAGTGAATATTCAAAATCATCCAAATTTTGGTAATTGACTAAACAAATGAATTCCTTCGATGAGCTTTCATGCAGGAGTCAGTTGTTTTGCTACAAAGTCAGGAACGGACTACCCCCGATGGTCCACACCCCAA